CCGCCGTTCGATCTTTTTCTCACAACTTTCCATCGCTAGTGAACACGACTCAAAGGTACTTAAACTTCACCACGAGCTCCAAAGCCTTTCCGTTAATCTGAAGAAAGCAACAGACACGAGAATGAAAAAGCAGTAGGCTATTCGCTTTAGAAGCGTTCACACACATGCCAGCCACGTTGCATTCGACTGCGATCCTTTCTAGGGAACACTGTAGACCACTTTCAGAAGATGCCAATAAAACAAGGTCGTCTGCAAACAGCAACATTCTCGTCCTCACATCTCCTATGCAGACACACTCATCGCCTTGCTTGCTCCTGACTATTCTATCCATGTAAAACACAAACAGGAAAGGAGAGGACGCATCCTTGACGAAGACCAGTGCCAACGCTCAGAAGCTTCGACTTCAAGCCATTTACTCTGACGCAGCATCTACTGTTAGAATACAGTGATTGGATGGCCCGTAGCAGTTGGCCACCTATCCTGTATCCTCGTAGGCATCACCACAGACTGTTGCGAGGGATCCCGTCATAGGCTTTTCTAGGTCAATAAAGCACATGTACACCGGGTGAACTCACATGATTAACTCCCACGGGTGAACTCCCACGATTTCTCAACAATCTGGAGCTGGGCAGATATATGGTCAGAGGTGTTTCGACCAGGCCGGAAGCCACAATGCTCTTCTTTCATCTTGGAGTCAGTTATTCTGCAGCACCTCCTTTCCAGCACCTTTGCGCAGACTTTACGCCGGAGGCTCAATAACGTAATACTCCGATAGCTGGAGCACTTCCTGTAATCTTCTTGAATAGAAGGATAACAACTCCCTTTCTCCAGCATGCTGATGTCTTCCCAGTAGTCACTAGACTTTGACAGGCACGCGTTGAGCTAACACATGCCTTGTTCGCCTGACGTTTTGAGCATTTTAGGGCGATTTTATCAATTCCAGCAGCCTTTCCATTTTTTGAGCTTTTCACAGCTTCTCTCCATCACCGAAGAATGTCGTTATCCACGGTAAAAGGGTGTCCAGCCCTGTCCTTCAACACTTTTAGACTGTCCTTCTTTTCACCTCGGCGCCGGCGAATGGTCTGCCAGAATACTTTGTTTATCGTGTGTAAATTCGACTCCAACACCTCATCAAACTTCTCTTAGGAATCAGCTTTGGCTTTCGCTGCTGCTTTCGCTGCCGCCTTGCGTTCCTCGACATATCGCAGGCGAGTGGAAGGCTCTCTGTCTCCTGTCGTGTCCACCAGGAAGTTCTTTTCTGAACTCCAGGCGGCAGGCCAACCCGTTTAAATACGCAGCATTTGGCGGCAGCCTCGAATATGCCGCTGTTAAAGAGCTGCTACTCTCATTCCACATTAGTGGTCATCACTGGGATCTGTCTAAACTGTCGTGCGATGTTGCTCGCAAATTTCGCTCTCGTGTCCACTTTTTCCCATTTGATTCGCTGGTTCCTTTTGCCACCAGATCTTGGTATGATACTTCATTTCTTACAGCGTAGCGTGCCAATAACAAGGTAGTAATGGGTTGATAGTTCTGCGCCTCTTTTAACGCGAAAATCCATTACAGAGCGTCTTGTATCAGACGATACGATTATCAGATCGTTATTGGACTACTGTGCACAAGCTTCCCTGTACCAGGTTTACTGATGCATTCTTTGATGATCAAAAAGTGTTCATAATGGACAGTCCGTCGTTTGCATAAAACTGCAATAACTTCATGCCGTTATTGTTGAGGTCGCTAGGACTGTTCCTTTCAATCATGTCTTTCCACTTTTCCGCGTCTATTCCGACATACGCATTAGAACCACTCATGAGTATGAGGGACTCTCCGTATTCTGCACTTCATACAAAGCACTTTCCAGTTCCTCAAGGAAGGAATCACATTCTCCCTCTAAGTTGGGCACAAAGACCTGTAACAAGGACAGCGCTTTAACCTGTTGTAGCTTCAAAAATCACTGCTACGAAAATCTGTACCAATATACATAGAGTTACTGCATGTTACCATTGCTTTTCCAAGAAGGGGAAGGAAATACCGAAGTTGCTCGGGCGATAGAGCGTCGAACTGGAACCGATAGGGTCCGGGTTCGAGCCTCAGCGGGGATATTCGCGTTTTCTCATTCTGAGGTTAATAAATCAATATCCCACTCTGGGAAGCAAACAGTAAACCAGAGACTATTTGCAAGATAACAGGTGCCGACTGACTTTAAAATAAGGTTCGTGGCTGTTAGTACGGAAATGGAGATCGACGCCCTGCCATTAAGTTCAGGAAAGAAGGGCGCTAGGAATAGTCCCATCGTGAAAATGTAAGGCAAAATGATATTCCAACGGTTACAAACTTTCCTTTCTTTTTGCAAGCCTAGGACACTTAAAGAAGTTATTCCTCCATAGAATTTAAATAACCGCAATGAAATCATCAAGCCGTCCCTAGTCGGGATGTGTGATAACAAAATATCATAATAA